GAAAGATGTGGCCTTCAGCTATACTTTTATTACCATTACCTTTCCACAGTCTAACTCCTCTGCCACGACCCTCCCTCCCACACACACCCTACCTACCCCCTTCCTTACCATTATTAATCTAACCTGAATCACTCTATTCTTCTCCAAGAGAACACACCCCAGTAACAACAATGAATCATAGATACTCTTGCTCTTCTAGTCTCTAATGGACTTGACAAAATGCCAGGTCTGATAAAATAAAAGGACAGGAACACCAGGAGAAAGGAGCTCTTTAGGTTCTTGTTCAGTGTATTACCCTCAGTATTAGTTACCAGGTAAGTTTTCTAGTAGCCCTGTGGTGGACAAGTTTTTTTTTTTTTATGTTTATTTGTATTGAGGAGTGGAATGGTGCAAGAGTACAAAGAAACTTAGGCATTTGGGCCCTTGTTTCCCTACTATTCACATTAGTTTGGTAAAAAGGAGATTAAGTAACATTAAAGGGAGTGGAAGAATATAAATATACGAATATAAATATATCCAGGGTAGCCCAGTCCTCTAATTCACTAAAGGATGAACTGAAATTGTTGGCCCAATTCACACTTATGTGAGAGCCTACAGAAATTATATTCCCTTTAACTGCTCTAGACCTGTGTGAAAAAGGGAAGTGGACAACATTTCTATTACAAGACAGCAATCTTTTATTGAAACATGGTGGACAAGTTTTTATCACACTAATGCTATTGACCCTCCCCATGTCTTCACACTCTAAGTAGCCATCCTACTCAGTAAGGCAACCTCTCAGGGATGCCTAGTAGCTAAGTCAAGGGCTCTTTCATCTTGAGGTTGAAAATAAAATCTGTAATTAGGCTAAAGAATATTAAGCAGTTTAACAACAAAGGTCACATTTTGATTAAAAAAAAAGCCTTCAACAGTCTCTACAAATCAATCAATTATACATTATTGAATTCCATAGGAGATCTTTAGGTAATAAAGAAAAGAAATAGAAATAATCTGTCAGTTACTCAAAGGGAAATTTGTAAAATGGCAGCACTAAAACACATCTTCTTTACCATGGATAGGTCTATGAGAATTGAATTCATGGCAAGAGAAACATAGAGGAGAGTTTTTGAAGATTTTCAACTTATATACAAATGTTGGAAGAAATATTGAAAGCCACTTAAGAGAATTTAGTAGAGTTTTTGTGAGTGTTATAAATTTGTATTAAATTTTGTTTAACTTGCCCTAAGGGACCTTATAAATCAACTTAATCATGTGGATTTTATACAATACCTCACCCGATTGGATTTTAATCCTGGTTTTAAAAATTTATATTTATATTTTTAATTGTTAAAAGAAATTTATGGATACTAGGTGTATCTACATGATATAAAAATTGTATTAATACAGAAAAGTCAACGGAATGGAATTTAGGTCACCCTGAGATTACAGTTAAGATTTGTAAAATAATGCTACAGCTAAGAATTTTAAAATAAACAAATCCAGTGAAATGAAATTTTAAATTGTGGCTTAACCGTGTGTGTGTGTGTGTGTGTGTGTGTGTGTGTAGAAAGAAAGACTATTTTCTTATTGCTATTAAAAAAGAATAAAAAAGCCTCATAAAGATTTTTAGGCCTATGTCATCATCCCACTGACAATAATCACAGACTAAGGGAAGAAACATTTACCACTCCCTAATGAATAACAAAGTAGCTAACAGTAGCCTTGGGTATTGGAGAAATTTAAAAACACACAGGGAAAGCCTGCCTTAGGTTAATATTAATTACTATTATCATAGAATTCTATTGTTCAAATTGTTCTCTATGGTAGAATAAGGAGTCCTTGCCTTCTGGCTCTCTAGGGCAGTATGTTTCCCACCCTGAAAAGTTTCAAGTAACATACAATGTCCTGTGTCACAAACAACAAACTACTTACAAGCCAATTGATTTTGGGCACCTAAAGTCATGGAAATGTTTGCTAGGCTTTATCTAAAGATACAATGAAAACTGTACGGGGGCTGTATTCCAGATCCCTTACACCAAGTTGAGAGTGAAAGCTATGTTTCCACTTGGGGATGTCACTGGAGTAAGTAAAATACAACCTTAAATGTGGGAAGATCATTCAGTTCTAACAACACATGGAAGAGAGATGTAGGTCAACAAATGCACATTTCTAAATACAGGTTTTTCTGAATACTTATTCTGAAGTTCTTTGAAAATCTGGCCAAAACAATCCCATTTCATATAGCAGTTCACATAATAAGCAAGTCAGAACATTTGCAAGGCAAGATGTTGTTGTCCTTTATGCAGCCAGCAAAAACATAGCTCTAAGCTTGGGCTGTCATGATAAAAGGATTTTGGAGCAGCTGATTTTAGAGAATCATAAAAACAACCCAACCTTATGCCCCAAGGTATAAGGAATATGCAGAGTCTGCATTGTGCTTCTGGTGTTAGGACAAATCATTCTGCTCTTTTCAGTGTGAGTAACCGATGCCAGTGGATGAGTAAAGGGAGAAATAAATGTACAGACAGACCTGTGGCTTGGTGAGGTGAATAACACTTGTATCAGAAAATCATGAGTTCTCTCTTTCATTTTGTAAATTCCTTGAGGTTAATTTACAAAACTTTTAAAAAACTTAGTAGGGGAATATATATTATTAGTTATATATGGAGGCACCAAGTTTTCTGCTACTTACGGCTTAAATTGTGTGGGGTTTTATGGATTACAGCATCTTTAAAAAATCTGGCTTTTTTCAGGAGGTAAGTGGAAGGATTAAAGAATTATGATACATACCTTTATATCAATTAGCGAATGGTGAATATAGTTGCATATATAAAATAACAACTGTTGAGGGGCACCTGGGTGCCTCAGTCGTTAAGCGTCTGCCTCCGGCTCAGGTCATAATCCCAGGGTTCTGGGATCGAGCCCCGCATCGGGCTCCCTGCTTGGCGGGAAGCCTGCCTCTCCCTCTCCCACTCCCCCTGCTTGTGTTCCCTCTCTCTCTGTGTCTCTCTCTGTCGAATAAATAAATAAAATCTTAAAAAAAAAAAAAACTATTGAGTGCTTCCTAAATATCTCGTTTTCCCTGTCATGAATTCTAATTTAATCCTCCAGTTGCCAGGAGGTTGATACTATTATCCCTATTTTACAGATGAGGAAACCCAGGCATAGAGACACTACTTTACAAAGCATATAAAATAATGGTGTCAGGATTTGAACCTAAGCAATTTGTCTCCAAGGTTTATGTCCTTAATCACTGCACTGGGTTGTCTTCAGGTTCTCTGGATCTGACTGCTTAGGACTCAGTTAATTCCTCAGGGTTCTGGCACTTCTAAGATATTAGTTGTTTGTAAGGAGAGAGTATCAACGTTTACAATGGCCATTAAGTTGAAAACACCAGCTCCTTAAAATTCCCAACTTCCAGGTGACTCAGAAATTACTGAGTAATTGTCTTTCCCCAAACCCAGTGCTCCACCCTTTATTTAACTTTACTGTTGCACAGCAACAGAACGTCGCCACCAGGAAGTGAGGATTTTTTAAAATGTTTTATTTATTTATTTTTAAAACTATTCTCTACAGGGACGCCTGGGTGGCTCAGTCGGTTAAGCAGCTGCCTTCGGCTTAGGTCATGATCCTGGGGTCTTGGGATTGAGCCCCACGTCTGGCTCCCTGCTCAGCGGAGAGCCTGCTTCTCCCTTCTCCCTCTGCCTGCCACTCTGCCTACTTGTGCTATCTCTCCCTCATATAAATAAATAAAATCTTAAAAAAACAAAACAAACCTAATCTCTACAGCTAAGGTGGGGCTCAATCTCGGGCCCCATCAAGTCACGGCTCTTCCGACTAAGCCAGCCAGTGCCCCCCCAGAATTATTTTATTTTGTTTTTAAAGATTTTATTTACTTGAGAGAACGAGAGAGAGAGAGAGAGAGAGAGACAGAGAGAGACAGAGAGAGCGCGCGCGTGCGAGCGACCAACCACATGTGAGGGGGGGGAGGGTCAGAGGGAGAAGCAGACTCCCCGCTGAGCGGGGAGCCTGACGCGGGACTCGATCCCACGACTCCAGGATCATGACCTGAGCTGAAGGCAGTCGCTTAACCAACTGAGCCACCCAGGCGGCCCTAGGATTATTTTAGACGAAGGCGCTACCCAGTATTCAGCAACGGCCTTACCTGCCTCGAACATCTTAATTCTGGACCAACACAATCTTATTTAGTAATTGGTCGGCTTCCTGTGTAGCCCAAAGGGGCTACATTCTCTCAAATTTGACCAGGAGATTTGAAGCGAAGCTACAGAATCTAAATTTGGGGGTAGATACAGTAGAAAACCTGTAACAGAACTGCCGTTTGCGACATCAAAAGCTGGAAATGAGCTCAATCATCCGCCGGGCCTCTTGGAGAGATTTCTAACATGTTTGATTCCCAACAGGCCACTTAATCCAGTGCTGCTCTTTTGGGGGCTCTGCCTTAGGAGAGTTTAGGGCCGTAAATTTAACCCACAGCCGCCTCTGCTGCTGCGGGTCCCGCCGGGTGTGAGGACTGATGTTTGCTGTGGTGAGCGAGGACAGAGACTAGAGGGGGGGCGGGGGAGGGGCACGCCCAGGCGTACTTCCCACACACAAAAACAAGGAAGCTGGAAGGGAAGGCAAGGACAGGAAAGAGGGGGGGGGAAGCCGCTCCCTCAAAATTCGTCCGTCTGGCGTTCGGAAACACCCCAGCTCTCCCCCAACCCTGCAGAAGCTCGCGGCCACGCGCGCGCACAGCTCCCTAGAGCTCTGGCGTTGGGCGGAGCAGAACGGCGAGCGTCAGTCCACCGGGCCAATCACGCGTCTCTGCGGACTTCGCGTAGCCCCGCTCAGCCACCCCCTCCTCGCGGGCGCTCGAGGCCGCGCGCGCGCAGTCCCGCCGCTCTAGGGCGCTGGGCCCCGCGGAGCTGCGTGCGTCGGTCAATCCGGCCAATCGCGCCTCTCTTCCGCCTCCCGTGCGGCCCCGCCCCTCCGTGGCAGCGCGCGTTTTCTGCACTCTGGGGATGGCGGAGGGAGGTAGAGTGTGGGGTAGCGAGTGAATATCCGAGAGTTGGGGTGTTTCGGGTGTCTGTTGTGGAGTCGAGTAGAGCTCCCTTTCTGTGGTCAGGGGACCTCTCAAACCTTCCTCTGACTTGGGGTCTCTCGAGGGCTAGTGTGGGTTTTCTGCAGAGGTGGGAGGAACTCCCCCCATCCCCCATTGAAGTTGATGCCTTTGTTTGAGGAAACAAACTTAAGCCAACTCTCCTTTCCAGGGTCTGTTCGCTACTTAAACGGCACAGATGCGCTTGGATTCCTTGTTCCTCAGGCCTGAGTGGTCATTGGTTCTAGTCACACAGCTTTTTAGGGTTTAAGGTACTGTGACAGGTCTGATTATGTTTTTCGAGTCAAGATTTCACTTGTATTTCCTTTCATTATAAAGCTGGCGTAACGAAGTTAAAGAATTCCTGGAGAATTACAAAGTTGTTATTCTCCCCACCCCCTACATGGCAGATTTGAGGATATTTTGATAGATAAAATGATGAGATGCTAATTTGTCCTGAAAAAACTAGTAGTCACCATGTGGACCAACACATTCTTATTTAGGAAGGTAAATGGAAACTGCAAAAGAGCGAGAATGAATCACAACCAAGTGAACTTGTTGCTGGCTTATTGGTGGAGATTACATGTACAACAGTAAATAGTTATGTTTACAAAAACAATATATGGAGGTATGGGTTAATTTTATCTACATTCTGATTTTTTTTTTTTTTTTTTTAGAGGTAAACCAAGATTTTATTTTCAAGATGGAAAACCCATCCCACTCAGGTGTGATTTTACCTAGCACTCCACGGGCTTGCGCCAATCCACCATCTCCCGGGACAAGTAGCACAAGAAAACAAGTATGAATATCTTAGTTCTTCCACTGGAGCTATTCTGTATTTCTAGGTATTGTGCCAGTAGTGGGTTTAATTCTACCGAAAATTGTCAATTAACATAATGTGTAAATCAATAAGTAGATATTGAACTATTAAATAATTTTAGGTCTTTATCCTAAGATAATGTGTTTGACACCCCCTCCCCCCATTTTCATCTTGAATCCGTTATTTTCATTTAGTTTCAGTTAAGGTTACTACAAAATTCCAAACTGAGGAAGTTTGAATCTGCAGTATTCTGAAGGTCTTTGGTGGCAGGGATCTAGGTCTTTTCCTTAATTTGTAACTGAAGCACTCAGTAGTGTCAGGAATGTGCTAGTTGCTGAACAAATATTTGTGATGCTAGGGATAAGCATCTCAACACTGTTTTAGAAGGGTTCTGACTTTGCTGAAATAAAAAGAATAAAATTAATGGGGCTTGCAGGAATTAAAGACATTTTGTGATGGTTACTTTAGATATATGGAGATATAAAGCCATCTAGTGGTGTCAACTAAAGAAATATAAGGTCTTTAATTCTAGTAGATTTATTTACATAGGAATGTTTTTCTTGATTAATGTTTTGTGCTTTTTTCAGCCTATGAGTGCAACACTTAGAGAACGATTGAGGAAAACTAGATCTTCATTTAATTCCTGTTACAGTGTGGTGAAACGTCTTAAAGTAGAGAATGAAGAAAACGATCAGACTTTTCCTGAGAAACCAGCATCTTCAATAGAAGAAAACTGTTTGGAACTTCAAGAAAGTTTTAAACACATAGATGGTGAATTCAAAGAAAATACATATTTGAAAAATACCTTCAAGAGTATCAGTGCATGTGAATCTAAATCTCTTGATACTGAGTCTTGCAGTGATCTCCAAAGTGACTTTGTGAATGAGAATCTTCCAAAACAAGGATTAGGTGAAGAAAGAGCAAAATTGGTGAAGCAGATTGAGGAGAAAGAAGACTTTCTTCGGAGGCTAAAACTGGTCAAAATGTATAGATCAAAGGTGAGAATAATTTCAGAACCACTTAATTTTTAGATAAATGATAGGAAAGTAATTTCCAAGAGAAAGTAAGTTTATTTAGACATAATAAGCAATAAGCCATTTATCGAGAAACCTGGCTTCCAACAACTGTAACTCAAATGTAAGTCATAGATTTAGAGTAGAAGAGGCCCCTAAACACCAGATACAACTTTAGAAAGTCCCAGCTCTCATTTAATATGCAGTTGAAATTTTTCTCTCCAGTTTCCAGCGTGTAGCAATATTAATATCAAATGATAGATGCCAAGTACAGTGAGAACAAAAGTGACAGCTGCCAGTGACTGATTAAAAAAGCTAAAAATGGGCCACAAAGTACAATAAAAAATATTTTTAGTAATAGTCTTGTGTTCTTCCAACTTATTAAAATGTTCCAGGTATTTTGTTTGATAAAACAACAAATATAAATTAGATTTTTAGATTTCAACCCAGATAGGTTGAATTAAGTAGAGGTTGGGCACTTGGAAGAAGATAACCTTTACTGACCTGGATCATTCATGTATATGTAGTGGCTCCTTCCCCAGAATGTGGTGTAACGGGGGAATAGTAGATCTTATTTGCTGTTTTGAATTTTTAGGACTTTTCTAAATATAACGACTTGGGTCTTAGGAGATAGTGAATGTTGAAAAATATTAAGTTGAATATTTTAATTTATATTTATTATATTTTATTTATATTGAATATTTTCAGTTTTTAAAAGTACAGCTATCATAGAAAAAGCGTTTTGTTTTGTTTTGTTTTAACCTACTGTTGCTTCTCTACATAGTTTTGCCCTATTTCATGATGATTTGATTTGTCCCTGAGGATAAGGATGGTCCAGAGGTTGGACCAAACAAAATAGCCATAGAACTCAATTTGAGGGTCATTGTAACCATTCTACTTAAAACCATCCTCCTTTTTCCTGGGTAGAAGTCCCAATCTTGACCCAAGTGTGTTACCCTTTAAACCTACTCATTTACTGATTTAACAGCTTTCATTAAGTAAGTTAAAATAGGATGCCTAGCTAGTTATTGACCTATTTTTTTTTTTTCCTATTTCAGAATGACCTGTCTCAGTTACAGGTGTTAATACAGAAGTGGAGAAGCTGTAGCCAGCTGTTGCTTTATGAGTTGCAGTCAGCTATGTCTGAGGAGAACAACAAACTCAGCCTTACTCAGCTGATAGACCACTGTGGGTTAGATGATAAATTACTACACTATAACAGAAATGAAGAAGAGTTTATTGGTGTTTAATTCATAATTTTTTCTCCAGAATATTTTTGAGAATGACAACTTAAAAGATAATACATTTTAAAAGGAAGGTAGAAACCATTAGGGCCTAGAGAAAGGTATCTTGATGAACATCAATTTAGGGCACTCTGTTATATAAATATAAAATAAGTTCTAAAATGAAAATTTAGTATTTTGGATAAGTTTGCCAAAGAAAACCTGACATTTAAAGAAATGTGAAAAAAAATTAAATCATGTTTAAAAAATAATTTGGTCATTTCTGGAAGTCAAATTTAATACATTGTTTTGTTTACTGTGGTAAAAAAGTTCTATTTTTTTTTAAGGTTTTATTTTAAATGTTAAAAAATACTTCAGTCTGGTTAATGTCTAAACCTGAAGTGGTCTAAAAATGCCTGCCTGTCTCCTAAGTTTATGAACCATGTTTTTATCCATTTACCACATATTTCTTTCTGCATGGTTGTAGCAGGTAATTAAAGTTGTTCATATGTCCAAAATTTTATTCTTCCCTGTCTTTTCAAATTTGTTTATTGTATTCTTCATCTCATTTAGTGAAATTGCCATCTATCTCTAAAAACAACATATGCTCATCCCCCACTTCAAGGTATACAAGGTCCTTCACATTTGTTCAGCTTTCTAGCTGCATCTATTCAGTTCATAGTGACTCCTCAGCCAGAAACCCACCTTCATAGGGTTGTGTTTCTGGCTGCTATATTGTACAATGCTACCTGTCCTTGGGGCTTTATACAGAGATATGACCCAAGCTGGCCCAGTCTGAGAATTGGAATTGTGCTTAGGAAAAGAAAGCCCATCTCTTTTTGTGACTGAAGCTGTTGTAGGTAAGTTTGGAAGCAGAAAAGCTGGTGTGCTAAGAAGGATAGTATGTGCCCTTACTAAGAAAGGCAAAGATGTTAGATGGAGAGAGAGCTTTGTGGATCAGTGGCTTCCTGGTTCTATTATCCAGTCCCTCCTGAGGGCCTTCTGGATTTCTGCTTTTGGGTCCTTTTAAGGGCTAAAACAGCTTTACTTAGTTAAAAAAAAAAAAATCCTGAATGTATTTCCCTACTAGTAGATAAATAGCCACTACCCTGAGGCCCCTCCTTCTCCAGGTGTACCCCATTTTTGGCCCAGTTCCGCCCCATGATCTAACAAACCATTAATATTTGGCATAGCAGGAAACCTTAAGACCCTGCTCTTGCATCCATTCTAATTGTTAGTGTCCATGTTGGTACTACCCTTCCCACTTGCCACACACCCCCGTCTCACCACACACACAAATTCTACCTTCTAGACACTGCCATTGTCATTAGCTGCCATGACCCCAGGAGGACTGACCCAGGCTTCACATGGGCCTCCCCTGACCCTGAGATTCCTAGGTGGGTATCCCTAGGGACCTGTGTTGTTGTGAGCCTATCAGCCTCCATTGCTGCTCGCTACACAGCTAGAAAGCCTAAATGTGGCATGGGAAGTGGTTTCCCTAGTGATGGTGCTGGTATTTGGCTGCAGCTACTTACTGTTGATTAGCATATCCCCTGGAGTCACCCTCGAATGTCCACTTGGAGGAACTATAGCATCAGTGGGACTCTAGTTCTGGGAGAGTTGGGGAGAGCAAATGGGGACATAGTAATGGGCATTTCCAAGGCACTAGCTGGGTGTTTAGGGCTCTAGCAGCACAATGGATACTCCTGCAATGGGAGGTGGGTCATGGAACATGGATCAGGCTTATGGGAGAGTTTGATGCCCAAGATGCCCATGAGGCAGGACCCTTTTTTATAATTTCTGTTGAATTTCACCTCTATTTAATGGGATACATTTATTTTAAAAATCACTGAATACTATATTTTTATTCATAAAAATGAAAGCTACCACTTAGCATTGCTTTGTGCCAGTTTAAAAAGTATGTTAACTCATTTGAGTATTAAAATTATCGGCATCCCATTTTAAAGATGAGGAAATTTAAGATAAAGTAATTATTTAAAAACTAAATAGTTATTTAAAGCTCAAGTGGCAGAGCCAAGATTTGAAACCAGGCAACCCAGCAAGAGAGCCCTACTAAGAACCATGCTATATTTGACCCAGTTAATTATATTACTACTTGATAATATAGATAATTTAAAGAACTATAAAAATATAATTGCTTTTAGTTCAGCAGAAGGTAAGAGGAATCAGTACCATGGACAATATCTAGAGTGGGTTGGGGTAGATGACCCATGTGCCCTTCCAAAGCCAACCCCCAAAACCAGAAGATGTCTCCTGTTGAAAGGTGCTGCTAGTAGAATATAGCTTGCAGACAGGAGATTCCTGCTAACCTCCACTCTATCTATGCCTCAAAGCAAAAAGCTTGAATTATCAGAGTCACCCAGGGTAGCCACCAAGAAATAGAAATTAAATAGGGTGTTAAGATCGAGGAATCCATGGTGAAATTTGTGGCATTGACTATTAGCAAATGGAGCCTAATAAGGCAACTAACTAATCCTGGTCACCTAGAATTTATATCACCAGAAAAAATGGAGAGAAAAAAAGCCTAGTAGAACCATGATTGACTCAAACCAAGAGGACAAAGAACTTTGACAATCTCATCATAAGTACAAAGTATTTGTACTCTTCACACACTTCACCCTTGGGTTCAGCCTCCCACCCCCACAATCACCTTCTCAGAGATAATTGTGAAGGATCCGAGATGCAGGAAATGTTACCAGTGGGCACTTGTCTGCTGAATCAGCCATATAAACTACTTGAGTCATTCTGGTACTAAGGAGGGCTATCAAAAGTGATGTTGGGCCTATTATTTCTCTTACATTCCCACCCAGCATTGATCAGTATATGGGTGATCAATTATGGTACTACCCTAGCAGTCTCTAGAAGATTTTAAATATCTTAAAGATTTTTTTTAGAAGGTTTTATGATAATAGTTCTCTTGCTTTACCTACACCTATGCACATTGGATATGCTGTTGCAGATTACACTTAACATTTAATTCACAAATTTCAGAAGAATGAGACCATGACATTCCTTGGAGATTGTGGTCAAGGATCCCAATGGTATCATCTTGGAATGCAGCAGTCCACAGGCTATGGAAGGGGAAAGCAGTTTCCTGACCATTTAATCTTCTCATTATTTAGTTATCATCATCTATTACAATGAATATGCAATGTAGAAGACTATGTTATGTTTATGCAGAAAAAAATACGTTGTACTTTTCAAACAGTTTAAGCCTTGGTAAAAGGAAACAGTTCACTTTGTTCTCATTGCTAGAATTGGCAATAATCCTAAATGTTCTGAGACTTTTTTTTCTGATTATAGAAGAAATGCTTATTGAAGAAAACTTGGGAAATATAGAAAAATATAAAAATCATCCATTAACTCATAAGTTTTCTGGTAATTTTATAAAATTAGAAATGCCAGGAGTGGCTAAGAGTTTTTTGTCTTTATGATAAAAATTAAGACTAAATGAGTAAATGAGTAAAATCATCTTGAATATTTTCAGTTCATTCTTGAACGAAAACAATCCATGATATTTTACACATTCATGCAAGACAAACATTTTTATAATGATTAAGATAGAAATTAAATAATTTGCTATTAAAAATATGCAACTAAGAAGAAGTTCTACTTAAATATCCTGATATGGGAGAAAAAGAAATCATTTTAATAAAGTGAAATTATTTTTTAAATGATTGATTGCCTTGTGTTTCCCACCAGCATTTTTATATTTGAACAAGAGCAGGAAATGTTTTCATCCTTAATCGTTCAACTTCAGCCTGCAGTATTGAAATCTGTTCAGCTTGTTGTTTTGCAATATTTGTTAACTTTTGTTGTTGCATCATGTTTTCATATCGTTCTTTGGCAATTTTTTCACAAGTCAGTTTAGACCCTACCCCAAAATTGAAGAAGAAAAGAATTAGTTGGATTATTATCTATATTTTCAAATATAGAGACAGCACTCAGAATCAGTTAAACATGTAGAAGAAATGCTGGTAGCTTTGTAACTACTGACCAGATTTCAGGAATAGTGATTACTTTTAAAGAAACCTACAGTTGAGTAAAGAAAAAATATTCTTACCCATTGCATTACAGATGTCTTTTCTCTCTGAGACAGCCACCAACTCTTCTCGTAAATTGCAGCTTAGAGTATAATTTGCTACATCTTTTTGATTGCTGTACCTTCGCAGTTTTTTTAGTAGTTTTTTGCAGTTTTCCACATTCTTTTTGTGGGTCTGAAATTTTTATTCCCATGACACCCCACAAAAATAATTTTGAAAAAAAGCATTTTACAAAGACATTTTTTAAATTTAAATTCATTATTATCAAGATATCATCTTATCACCATATCCCTATTGCCTAACATAATGCCTGAACATAGTAGTTAACTAAATTGTTTAAAGATAGAATGGTATTTCAATATGACATGTTAGAAAAAATCTTGTATATTCTTAAAAATGAGATTAAAAAAATACATATCCTTGAGATTACTTTGTTTCCATCTTATATATGCTATACAAGCTAAACTGATTAGCTTGTATAGCATATATACATAACAAAACAAAATTTGTTAAGCAGTAATGAAAAAACAAAGGCTTTACAAAGCCCAAGAAAGACTATCAACACTTCTGTTACATAAATCACAACTTAATGTAAAATTGGAAATTCATGTACACGCAGATATCTCCCAAGGGGTTAATTCTAATATTAAAAGAAGTACTTCAGTCTACCACACTTGTTATGGTTGCAAAGACACTATTCAGGGACCTCTAGATCCTGAATGTCAATAATGGACCACGATTTTATTAGGTTCTGTTTGAATTCATGACTTGGAACACTATGGCTTTGTTCAAATAATCCAAAACTGTTGGGATTATAATGATCAATACCTTTGAGACCTACCTTCTCTAAAACAGCAATGGTTTGCTCCATTATTCCAATTTGAATGGCAATCAGAGTCTCATAGTTTGGTTCATTTAGGTACTTGGAGAAGAAAAAGACCCCATAAAATATGTAAGAATATTTTACTCTATTCTTTCAATAGATAACTTTATAAAACATTCTTAGTTTTGAAAGTTACCATTTTCATAAAAATTATCTAAGATTGATTTGACTTTTGTGCCATGATATTTAATTGTATTTAGCTATTGATACATTCACTTGTAT